GTTGCTCCAAGCCCCATCCAGCCTGGCCTTGGACACTTCCAGGGATGGGGCAGCCACAGCTTCTCTGTGCCAGGGCCTCCTCACCCTCACAGGGAAGAATTTCTTCCTTTAGGAAGAAATCTTTGAGGTTTGAAAGTCCCTTCCAACCCAAACCATTCCATGATTTTGTGAAACGTGGTTGCTGCTTCTTAGCACCATTGTAAAAGTAGCAGGAGTTTCATATTCCCAAGGTGGAACATCCACACCTGACATCTGAGTCCTCTCAAGTGTTTATACAGCTGGGGGTCAAATGAGATCATTTGTATCCCAAATCCATGAAAAAAGAGGTCTGTTTATATGATATCTTCCAACCTGACCTAAACATTGTTTGTAAGTGCCTAAAATAAAAGTGACATTTGCCTGAGAGGCTCTTTAAAACAGAACTGCCCAGGTTCAAACCCAACAAATGTCAGGATTGGAGGAAGAGATTAACACAATTTACTGCTAATGAGGGATTCCTTTCCAAGCTGTCACTACTTGAATATCTTCCTGGTGTCTCACTGGAGCGTGTGTAAACCCAACACAGAGTCAGAGCATCTCACAGTGAGTGTTTAGACATTAAACTAAAGCCATTCCTCCAGGCTGCACTGGAAACTTTGCAGCTGACCTAGAGAACATACAGTGAAACGTGTTCACCTGAGTGTCTCATTCAGGTTATTCTCAGGGCTTTCTCTGCCTTGTTAGTGAAGGGTTTAATCAGTAAATTGACTTTTTAATGAGGTAGGGTGCTGGTCACTGTGGCTGCAGGGAGCAGATTAATCATTAACTCCACAGCAGAAGGAGAATTGTGGTGAACTTGGAAGGCCTCTCTCCACTTTTAGTTTATTTGGAAGAACTCATGTGACTTGAGACACATAGAAATACTCCTTTTAAAGCAATTTTCCTGCATTGCCAAAATGACCCCAGTGTGTTGCTTTTCTCTCAGTGCATTTGCAAGTGACTGATTTTTTTGCACCTTTGGTGTTGCAAGATCAAATCAATAATGACTAGGGGGGTGGGTCTGGGGGCTCTTTTTGCTTGAAAGGGCACTGACCTACCATAACCCACACATGCTGAATAGTTTTCTTGAATGCTTTGTGAGTTTTGAGATTCTCTTGCTTAAGATTGGATCATGTGAACTAACTTATGCTTCAAAGACTCAATTTTAGCATAAGAATCTTTTGAAATGAGACTTGTGAGAGAGCACACTAACATCACTATTCACAGCAGTTTATGGTAAATAGTTCTATTTTGGACAGACCGGTTTTCATTTGGTATATAACTCAGAAGTGAAATCTGTGAGTATTTATGGAATCTGCCTTTGTTTTATTAACTAACTCATCAGAATTAGTGAATATTTAGAATTCAGACTGTGAATGCAGTTGGTAGTTTGGGGTTGCATGTGTGTGAGAACTCTGCCTTGTCTGTTTACTGGATATTAATTAATCCAAGAAGGCATCTTGGTGTTCTGAAGTTGCACACAAATGGAGACTTTCCTGACAAAGTTTTATATAAAAGTTTGGACAGTTATTCCTTCAAACCAACTCCGAAAAACAACAAAAATCCAAGAAATCATTTTGCACTGTTAAGTTCTTGCTTTCTCTTGAAGTCACGTGGTTGTTTTTAGATTAACAGTCACTGAGCAGTGAAGTGGAAGAGGGAGGGGAGTCTCCACACAATGAATAACCCAGAGCATCTTTCTGCAGCTATATACCGTGCTCCGAGAGAATACATGTGGCAGTGACAGAAATGGCAGCCTTGTTCCCAAAAGTAAGTACCTGCCACCATCAGAACGCTTTCCTCGTGTGTAATTCCCCTTCAGAATGAAAATCAAAAATTATTTCACTTTAAAATGAAAATGGTAGGGAGAAATGATGGGGTTATGGTGCACCTTTGTATTTATTAGCGTGGCAACTGGTAAAGGCTGAAGTGTGAGTCCAGCCTTTAGTTGTACTCTTGAATGTAAAACTCTTAAGAATTGTACAAAACTGGAGGTGCTTGATCTGGCATGAAGAGTTGTGTGGTTACATGGGAATTTCACCAGACTCATCATCCCCTTTTCCATCTGAGTGCCATCACCTGGATTTCTTTCCTGCAGCCATGTTTAGATCTGTTATTCATCCATCAAAGCGATCTCTTTGCTCACAGCAAATTTGGGGAGTGAAATCCCCGTGACCAAGTTTTTGTAAAGTCTTTACCCACCTCTCCAAAACTGCAAGTAAAGAGCCAAAGCTGCTGTCCCGCCTGCACCCATATCCTGGACATGCTGTCCCCTCCTGCCAGCCAGGACAGGGGACAGTAAACAGCCACCAGAAATGAGCATGAGCAACTTCCTAAGGGAGGGCACGGAGCACTACTCCCTGCCTGCTGCCCGGCAGCCCTTCGGGATCTCCCCGAGAGCCGAGGGAAATTCCGCCGGCTGCCACCAGGGGAATCGGGGCTCGGCCGCATCAAAGAACCCTTGTGAGCACTCCCGGCTAATTAAAACGTTGTGTTGTTCTGCCTGTCCCAGCGTCTGTTTTCCCTTCGCAGAAGCCCAAGTCGGAGCTGGTGAGGACTTCCCTGCGGCTGCTGACATCCAGCGCCTACAGGCTGCAGTCGGAGTGCAGGAAAGCGCTGCCCGCCGAGCCCAGCCCCGCGCCCGACATCCAGCTGGTGACACAGCAGGTCATCCAGTGCGCCTACGACATCGCCAAGGCCGCCAAGCAGCTGGTCACCATCACAACCAAAGAGAACAACAACTGAGGCACTCGGGGCTTTTTACTCCGGGGTTTTTTTTAAAGGTTGGATTTCAACGTATAGGTGTGGAACTATGCGCATTTTTACGAGGAAAAAAAAAACTTCAAGGGGCAAGAAACTTTTTTTTTTTAAACTCAGTATTATTTTTGCATGTTTTCTAACAATTTTATGATTAATTTAACCCACTGCCTTATTTTGTGCCTGTGTTGCCAGTGTAGTTATGGATAATAGCATGTTGCAAGTAGCTGTCGAGCCACTCTCATGTCCCAGCGCTGTAGATGTTTCCTTGGGGCCACGTTCTGCTTTCAGATCCTGCTGGTGGAACTGCTCTGACACCACTGCACGGATGGGAGAGCAGCATCTCCATCCCTCTGGAGCCTCCCCTGCTGGGATCCTGCTGGCTGAGGCTCCCCAGGCTCCGGGACTGCTCCCAGCAGGAAGAAGGTTTGTCCTGGTAACGGGGTGCAAGCCCAACGTTCTCTGTTCCCATATCAACTGTTGTGCAATATGTTTTTGTTTTTTTTAGTCTGCTAAACCAGTAGTAGTTGTGGGCATCCAAGCTTATTACGTGTAACTCTACAAGGTCTTTGTCACTTTATCTGTTTTGGAAGGAATTTGAAACTTAATAGTTATTTCTTTTAGTTGTCACTATGCCATTAATATATATGTTTGATGTTATTTTAGGGCATTAGTGGTTAAATATTATCCTTTGTTTCTGAGTTAGTATTTCATTGTTAAGTTTCTTGCAGAATTTTCCTGTCATCTTTGAGGCACCGTCTTGTTTGCAGCAGCATTTCTCAGTAACTCCAGATGCAATTTCACTAAAGATTTCTGTGCTTATTAACAAAAAAAGGAAGTTAGAAGAGTGCCAGTGCAAAAGCAGCTGTGTCTGCCACAGCACATAACCTCTGTACCTCAACATATCCAAATGTGAAAATCTTTCTCGTATCTCCTAAGTTTTTTTATGCAAATCTTTACAAATTTGACAACTTGCTGAGTAACCCCTGCCAGGCTGCCTGGCCCCAGTGGCCATGTTTGCTCCAGGTTGCTTCATCTACAACAGTTCATAGAAGTGTGTCAGTCCATAATTTAAAAATTGAGAATATTTTTGGGAGTCTGAATTTTAGGTGGTGCAGGAAATCACTGATTTTTGCCTCTGTCCCATTTGGAAGTGTCTTGTCCCTGCCCAGGAGCCAGCCATGGTGTGTTTGTGTGGATATAAAAGTGCCATAGCACTGCTGGATTCCTGGTGCTGTCTGGCTCCCAGAGTCTGAGGGAGGGAAGGAATGGAGAGAGGAGATGACAGCCCAGTAAATTAATGTTCTTCATTGTGGTGTTTTATTTCCTTTCTGCCCTTCTGAACCCCAGAAGCAGCTCTAGCCAGACAGCAGAGGCAGGCTGGGATTAAAACTGCAAATGACTTTGTGAAACCTACTTCAAAATCATGTAACTGGCAATTAATTAAATACATTGAGAATCTTCTAGGAACTTTTCTTTTCCTTAAATAATGGCTGAAAGGCAGCAGATGGTATTTTTCAGTCTCTCAGGACACCACTGTGTGCTGTTTTTTAACATATCTTACCTGCTTTCCAAAGCAGGGTGACACTGAGCTACGGTGTAATTTATCAAGTATTTAAACCTGCCTTTGATCCAAAACCAAGGGACACTTTAGTAACTGCCAGCCCCTGCTCCAGCTACACTGAAATCAGAGTGGTCCACACCCCACAGGAACCCCCAGCAGCAAATTCATGAACCCTCCACTCTCAGCACTGCAGTCACAGAGTCTGTAGCACCTCAAGTAACAAAGGTGTGTTTTTCTTTTAGGACTAGATCTCTTGTTCCCCTGTAAACAAACTTGCTCTTCCTTTACAAAATGCTGCAGAGGAAAGGAAAAGCTTTTTTTGCCTTTTTCCAAACCTTGTATTTATCAGTGTCATTCTGTCTGTACAATATTTTGACTTTTAATCTTTTGTTTACAGTATTACTATAAAATGCTAAAACCCTTTCAGTGTGTGAAATAATGTGGGTTTATTTGACTGCTGCTTCTCTAAAGATCTCTGGAAAGGTTTTTGCTCTTGAGTAAAGTGCTGCCAGTCTTTGTAACAGCTCCTTGTGCCCTGTGACAGGACTGATGTCAAGCTGCAGTAGTGGATGGTAACAGCAAGGAATGAACTGCAATAATCAACTCAATCTCCTCTTCTGTTGCTGCAGTGGTTTGCTCATGTAAGAAAACCAAATCCTTGTTCAGGTTTCAATTATTCATTATTTATTAAAGAAGTGAAAAACAATATTTAATTCTCCAGCACCTTCTGGAGAGGAACTGGACAAGCACTGCTGCCACAGCACACATGATCTGACTGATTTGCAATATACATTATGAATTAACTCCTCACAGTCCAGTGGGAACCAGGCACAGCCTGATTCTCCAAGGTGGGAGTCTGACACAGCCCCACAGCTCCTCTTCCTGGGGAGACACAGATGCTTTTGTGGCTCAGGTCCACAGAGCCCTTTAATTTACTGGGTTGCTTCAGCTTCTCACATACCAAAATACATGTGCACAACTCCAGAATGCAAAGTGAAGCAGTTCACTTCTCTGAAGGTGCTCACACCTCCACATTCCTGAAGACAGTAGAACTTTTCTCCTCTTCAGCTTGGCCACAACTAAAAATTGTTTTCAGAAATCGAGTGAGTCAAGTCTTGATCTCACTGTAGGCTATTCCAGAGGCACTGTTATTTCAGGAGTTCCTTGGGTGCTCAGAGTTTTCTCTCTGTAGTCTGGAGCTGCATCTCATGCTCATTCCTCAGGTCCAAGCTGCTCTTGGGTAACTGTAGAACTGATGGGGTCAAAACAAAGAGCAGCACAGGTTTATGGGCTCTGGAATTAATCCACACACAGTTGAGCATGCACAGGAGCAGATGGGCTGGGCAGGGGCTTCAGGTAGGGTTACTCAAATTTGATTTTAGAGCCAGGCAAAGCAGGACAGTCAACAAAGACACTGAGCACGGGAGTTGCACTGTACCAACTGCACTAATGTAGCAAATAAATCCCTTTCAGCACTGAGCAAGATTTGAGGCATCAGCAACACATCTGCCTCAAAACTTCTTTACAAGCTAGGGCCTAATATCTCAACATCAGCAAAAAAGAACAGAGAGAAGTGTAGAGCTCTGTGAGGGGAAGGAACAGCCCTGTGTTGTGCCCCGGTACTGTCATGACTAAAGTGCAGATCAGAGACAAGGATGGCGTCACCCTCCATGATGGGCTCAGGTGTTGGGGTGACCCCAGGGTGCCCCAGGTGTGACCTTACCCTGCTGTGCCAGCCCTGCCTGGCCTCCTGCTGCTCCAGCTCCTCCAGGTGCTGCCGGGCTGATCCCTCCTGCTGCTCCTCCCCTCTCAAGCTGTGCTCTGTCCCCTGCCCAGGGAAATCGGGTGAGATGGGGCAGCCCCAGCAGCCAGGTGTGGACTGGGGAGCTCAGCCTACCTGTGCCTGCAGCTCCCTCCTGTGGGCTCTCTGCTGTTCCTCCTCCTGCTCCTTCTCCCGACGAGTCCCTTCCTTGGCCTCCTCGAGCTCTTTGATCAGCTGCTCTCGATATTTAATGGACTCTTTTTGGGCCCTTCTGTTTAGCTCCATCTTCTCTTGGATCTGGCGCTGCCTGCCTGCAAGGACCTGTGCAAAGGGAGGGGATGGAGGGAGGAGATGGTTAAACAGCTCCCAGGAAACACACCAGACAAGCAAAAAAATTCCACCCCAGCACGGAAGGCTCTAACTCTCCAGAGGGTGGTGGGTTACAAGTGGAATGATGGTTTCATTGTGCCAAGGGGCACACATCATCAACAGAGGTCATCACCTCACTCATCAGGCGATCTCTGGCCGCCTTCTCTCTTTCCCATTCTTCTTCCCTCTTCTCCCAGATTTTTTTTGCTTCTTCCCTAAAGGAGAGAGGAAGAATTATCTCTGAGGTTACCCCCCCTGTATACTCCACAGGCACACACAAGCTGTCCTGTGCTTTAGAGGAGCACTCGGGTTTCTCTTCAGGTTTGTCCCGTGCCAGTTGGTGCGTCCACCCCACCTGTGCCTCTCAGTGACCCCCTGACCCAGAACATTCAGCACATATGGACTCTTCAGGTGAGGGTCAGAGGTTCAGACTCACCTGAAGATAGTCTCGAGCTCTGCTTCCCTCTCCTTTTCCAGCTGGAGCTGTTCCTCAATGACCTTCTTCATCCAGGCCACGTCTGCCACCGCCCGTCCCCGCCACGCGCTCTGCCAGCTCTGATCCTGCTCTTCCTTCTCCAGGAGGGCTGATAAGATTTGCCTGTCTGCCTCCTGGAGAAAAACCACGAGATTTACAACTATCCAAGAGCCTCCCAGCCCGTGTGCAGGGCTCCTCTAGGCATTACTGGTGACAGTGTCATGTGCTCAGCACGATGCTCCATCTGCTGCTTCCCCGTGAGCTTTGTGCTCCTGCCCTGTGCACAAGCTGGAAGGGGCCCCCTGATCTGTAGGAATCAGAGGCACACACAAACCACACACAACAAGTTTTTTCACCACACAGCATCTATAAAGTATAAATGAGTCTCTCACCAGCTCCTCCTGTACCTGCTGCGCTCGTCTCCTTAACTGGACGTCACACTGATGCTTCAAAAAGCGACTGTAGGAGGGAAAAAAGCAAAATTAAAAAAAAAAAACCAGTATTTTAGTCACACTGACTCTAAAGCACCACATCATTGTATAGCAGCACCTGAGGAGGTACATCTGTGACAATAAAGAACCTGCTACCAGAAAAAAAAAAGCAACAGCACCAGTGCCTCTGCTCCTTGGCTGCCATGGGCAAGTCCACCAAAACTCGGATATTTACATTCTACCACTGCTACCTGGAATATCTTCTTGTGCCCCAAGTACTGCTGTGGGCACAGGAACAGATTCTATCCAAAACAAGCTCCACTTGGTGTCCTACCCGAGCTCCTTCTTCCTCCGGTGCTCTTCCATTTGTTTCCTTTCTTCTTCCAAATTCTCCAGCTCCCACTGCTGCTTCAATAAATTCTCTTGTTCCTTTTTCAGCTTCGTTGCCTAAAAAGGAAAACACGAGCACTGAGAGAGAGTTCATCAGAGAGCTACAACATCCCAGAGAGCATGCTTGACCAGAGTTTGTACCCTGCTCTGCTCCTCTGCAGGCAGGGAAAACCCTCCCTGCAGTGCAAACATGGAGAGAAGAGGTCAGGTCAGCCCTGCTGTATTTCCAAGTGAAGCAATGAATTCCTTTCTCCAATGAGGAGAAAGTCAAGATTACCTTTGTTTCCTGCAGTTTCAGTTCTTCTATCTGCTGAAGCAAGGTCTTCTCCAGCTGAGGCTTCTCTTCCTCTCGTCTTGTTCTTTCCAGCGCTTCCCCTCGTGCAGTTTCACACTCATTTTCATGTTTCTTCTCTTCAAGTTTGGTCACCTCTTCCTTTTCCAAAGAAAAGAAAACAGCATTTCAAGTCAGCCTGACTCAAAGAAACAGCTTCTGGCCGTTTCTCTGAAAATCCACAGAGCAGAGTCCTGCAAGCTGGACGGCTTTGTTAACAGTGCCCTTCCTGCACAAGCGTCACCCCACACACACATTGCAGAGTCCTCCCAGTGACCAGATGCCCCCATACCTTGGTTTGTTGTGTTAGCTGATCACCCCAAGCCTCCCTCACGTGCTTCCTCTGCAGCTCAGACTCTGCCTGGAGACACAACAGATGTAGCAGGGCCATCAGTGCCAGTGTCACCCCACACACACACTGCAGAGTCCTCCCAGTGACCAGAACACCAGGGCTGCCCCCATACCTTGGTTTGTTGTGTTAGCTGATCACCCCAAGCCTCCCTCACGTGCTTCCTCTGCAGCTCAGACTCTGCCTGGAGACACAACAGATGTAGCAGGGCCATCAGTGCCAGAGGCTCTGCCCCCAGGATCTTCCAGACTCTCTGGAGCACCACCTGAAATCCCAGGAGGATCTGCCTCTGCAGAGGTGGGCTCATCTGAGTGTCCAAGGTGCCCACCAGGTCCTGAGGGTCGTTATCACATGGGAAACACCACAGTGACAGTGATACAGGACTGCAATGCTGCAGCAGCGCGTGGGTGGAATAAAGAATGAGGAAGCCCCACAGCATGGCAGGTACAGCTAAGATATAAAGATTTATATTTCTTTCTGTTATTTATATTTTATGTGCCTGGGATATTTACATTGTGAGCTCTGAAAATTTGCTCAGAGTCTGAACAGATTTCTGGCTTTTAAAAATACACCTTTGAGAGGGCTTCTTAAAATTATTTGAACTTAAAACTCTTTGCTTCTTTGCCTTTTGTTTATCAGAACTTGGGGCAGTTGCTGTGATGCGAGATGAGCGACCACAGCAGAGATATGATAACTTTCAAGTTAAAAACCGGTTTAATAAATACAAGGCAGCAGGGACTCAGGAGAAAGCAACATCACCTCTCGGAGCTCCGCGTTGTTTTTGTTCCAGCGCTCCTGCAGCGGCGGCTCAGCGAACTGGGAACACAGAGCTGGGTCAGGTCAGGATACAGGACACAGGAGTGCTCGGCATCCCAAACCCGCCGAGGCTGACAGGGGTTCAGGGCACCAAGCGGTGCCAACTCCAGCAAGTCCCGCTGGAACAGCTGAGGCACGGCAGCGGCCCTGCACCGGACCAGCCCCGGCATGCGGGCCGAGCACGGTGAGCTCCCTCACCTTCCTCCCGCTCTCTCCGGCGTTGTCCCGCAGCTCCTGGCTCCGCCGCCGCTCCCGCAGCTCCGCCGCCAGCGCCTCCCGCTCCTCGCCCAGCAGCCGCCGCAGCCGCTCCCGCCGCCGCTCCAGCCGCGCCGCCAGCCGCCGCCGCGCTGCCGCACACAGCGGGGCTCAGCGGCACCCCCGCACCGCACCGCACCGCACCCCCGGCACCCGCCGCACCGCGGCCCTACCTGGGCGGGGGGACGCGGGGCTGGCTCCACCGCGCCTGCAGCGAGCAGCAGGCGGCGGCGCGGGCGAAGGCGCGGCTGGTGCTCTCCCACTGCTGCCGGCTGCGCTCCTGCAGCTCCCGCCGCTCGGCCGCCCTGCGCTCCGGGCCGCGGCCCCGCCGCAGCCACAGCGCCATCGCGGCGCGACGGCTCCCGCCGAGGGACACGGGGAGGCGGGGACCGGCGGAGGGAGGCGGGGAGAGAGGCAGGGTCGGGAGATGGAGCGGCGGCCGGGATGGGTTCGCTCCGGCCCGGCGGTGCCGCCGCGCCCCGAGCGAGAGCCCGCAGGAGGTGCGGGTACAGCCCGGGCCGGGCTCGGAGCGCGCAGCGCCGCGGGGTTCGTGGCGCTGTAAATATCCCAGGGGTTAAAGGTTTCTGTTTCTGCCCGCCTTGGCAGGGCACCAGCGCGGCGCCGCCCGCAGCGAGCCCAAGCGGAGCGGCCGCTGAGTGACCCGGGACAGCGCGGGCACCGCCGGAGTGGCCGCGGGCATCCCGAGATGGCTCCGGGCATCCCGAAGGGAGCGCTGGATATCCCAGGACAGGCTCTGAGCACCCTGGGCTGGGCTGAGGGCACGGCAGAGCTGGTCCTGGCACCCCGGGAGGGGCTTCAAGCGTCCCGGGAGGGCTCCGGGCATCTCTCGGGAGGGCTCCGGGCAGTCTGGCAGCGGGGCGGAGGCGGCAGCAGCCGGCAGCCCCCGCCGCTGACCCGCACCCGCTCTGTACCCGCACCCGCCCTGCCAGGCACCGATCGCTATCGCCCCACGACCTGTTTTTCCAGCACAACCGGTAAAAACACCGTATCTGGGGCCCTGTCACCGGCAATGCGCTCCCCACGCAGCGGGCGGGCTGAGCCTCCCTCCGCTCCCAGCTCTTCGTCACCTCTCCGTGTCCCCGCTCGGTGTCACTTTCCCACCCAACCCCTCACTGAGGTGTGTCATCACTCCCGCGCGTTGAGGTTTGTTTTCCATCTGTTCCCTATAAAATATTTATGTCCCGTGAATAATTAACGCCGGCCCGCCCGGCGCTGCGAACGCGGCCGGGGCAGCGCACAGCCAGGCCCCGCGTCTGAGGGGGCGATGGGGGCGTGGTCTCCTCCTTGGGCTGAAAGCCCCGCCCCCGCCTCTCCCACCAATGGCTGCGCAGCGGCCGTACGGCTGATGAGCAGCCATTGGTCGGAGAGGCGGGGGGCGGAGCGTGGCGTGGGCGCGCTGCCGGGTCGGCCCCCGCCGCCTCAGAGCCCCCTCAGCCGGGGAGCGGTGAGGGGGAAAGGGGACCGGAGCGCTGGTCATGGCGCTGCTGCTGGAGCACGAGTTCAAGCCGCTGCCGGCTGATAAGCAGATCGAGACTTTGCCCTTCCTGGAGGCCGTGGCGCACCTGCCGCCGTTCTTCGGTGAGACCGGGGTGGCCGGGGCTGGGAGATGCGGGCTGGGACCGGGCCTGCTGCGGGCTCAGCCGCTCGGGGTGCCCCGTCCCCAGTTCTGGGTGGTGCCCCCCTACCTGATCCAGCGCTCACGCCGGGCTTGGCTGCTCTGCCGGGGCCGGGGTTGCATCACGATCCTGTCAAACCCGCCGAGCAGCCCCGCTGGGAAGCGTCCTGCCGTCCCCTGGAGCGCCCCATGCCGAGGCATCGCCCGGGGCTGCCATCCCACCCGGTGCCGGGACACGGGTGGGTGTCGGCGTGGCCGCCCTCGTGGCACGATGTGCCCGCTGCCCTCCACAATGTCAGCTATTGTGTGGCAGCCCCGGAAGGGCAGGACGTGGGGCTGCCTGCCTGCGGACGGGCAGTGTCCGGTGCCGGTCAGGCTGTTCCAGGACGTTCTGCCAGGGCTGTGTCCCGGAGCCAGGGGGATTGGAGGTCGCTGGTGGGGCTGCAGTAGGTGGCAGGGCTGTCCCAAGGGCCAACAGCCGTGTATGAAGCTCTGAGATCCCTTTGGAGTCTCAGTGCCCGGGCTGTGCTTAAAGTGAAACCTGTTGGTTTCAGGAAGTCTGTGGTGTCCCCTGTGTCACCAGCTGTTCTCCCTCTCTGTCTCCACAGATTGCCTGGGGACTCCCATCGTCTACTCGCCAGTCAAAGCAGACCTGACTGGAAATATCAAGGTAGGAAGGGACTCAGGAGGGCTCGGAGAGGAGAATCCCTGGGGAGAGATGCTGTGGGACTGGAGGTGTTTCAAAAGGCTTTTCTTCCCACGGGGACTTTGGGCTCAGCAGCGGCTCGCCCGGTCACAGTTTACTCCCAGAGGTCCTGCCCAAAGTCCCTGCTCCCGGGTGCCAATCCCCTTTTTCTGCCCTCAGAAAATCCGGGCGGTTTATGACTCCAACCCTGCCAAGTTCAAAACGCTGCAGAACATCCTGGAGGTGGAGAAGGAGCTGCACGGCTCGGCCTGGCCCAAGACGGGCGCGACGCTGGCGCTGATGTGGTTGAAAAGGTGACTCACGGCGTCGGGAGCTGCTCCTGCTCTGTCCCAGCATGTGGGGAGCTGGAGAGCTCCAAATGGAGCCTGTGTGTGCTGGGCTGGTCCCTGTGGGCTGGGCAGCTGGCAGTGGGGTGCTGTGTTTGGGGAGCACAGCTGTTGGGAACTCCTTCTTCAAATCTCCAACCTGGGAATGCACAGGGGAGTTCAACCTCAGAGCGTAAGCCCACAAATTGGATAGGTCAGGAAGATCCACGGGGCTGCACCTGACCCTGCCCAGCTCCTGGCCTCACCTGGGGGTTCCATCCTGCCCTGGGGGCTCCATGCAGCCCTCCTCTCTCTTCCCTGGATGGACACACAGGGGCAGGCAGCAGCTCTGCGAGAGGGATGCACTGCTGGCACTGTGGGGTTTTGGGGTGCTTGCAAACACCAGGCTGGAAGCTGGGAAGCAGCACCCACTTCCCTGAGCCCAACATCTCTGCTCTTCTCCCAGGGGTCTGAAATTCATTCTGGTGTTGCTGCAGAGCATCTCTGACGGGGAGAGGGATGAGGAGCATCCCAACCTCATCCGAGTGAACGCCTTGAAGGCTTACGAGATCGCGCTGAAGAAATACCACGGCTGGATGCTGCAGAAGCTCTTCACGGTGAGCATTCCCTCCCTCTCCAGGCATCCAAACACCATCCCTAAGGCTGCTCCTGTGCACTGACAAATGTCCAGAGACCCCCACAGCGCTGGCACATAGCAACAGCCCAACCCATGGTCTCTGTTGTGGGGGTCAAACATCCTCTCCCTGTTTTACAGGGCTCGGTCTATGCTCTTCCCTACAAATCTGATTTGCTGAAGGCCTTGGAGAATGGTAAAGAAGTCAAGGAAGAGGAAAGCATAGAAAAAATCCACCAGTTTCTCACGAGGGTCACTCCAATCCTGGATGCAATTTATGAGATGTACACAAAGATGAACGCTGAGCTGAGCTACAAAGCCTAAAGCTGGCACAGGATTGGCACAGATTAAATAACGTGTGATGGGTGTTACCTATGTCTTCATCACTGAGGCAGCTGGGGCGGCTCCCAGCTCTCTGGTGACTTCGATTCCTGTCTGGATCTGCAGTGGATAATGTCTTTTCTAACCAAAAAATAACAGTAATTAACTTTCTATTAGAAATACGGCAATAAAACAATTGTGGGTGTCACCCTTGGATTTCCCAAGAGGAAGAACAAGTGTTTGTAGTCCCAACTCCTGGATTCCTGTCTTCAGTGGGGCAGGGAATGAAGTGTCCTGCTGATGAATGAAGTGGCACTCGGACTGTGCCTGGAACCCACCGACGGGCACCTCGTGTTGATTGCCACTGGATTGTCAGGAATGATGCCCATGGAGGAGGAGGAGCTGATGACTTTCCTGGGTGATCCCAACTCCTCCAGTGCTGGCGTGGGATCAAGCCCATGTGCTGGGATTCAGAAACCAGGGACTATCCCCGTGGTGTTTGCGGTGCCTTATGAGCCCCCCTCACCTCCTGAGCCCCGGGAGCAGCAATTAATAAAAACTGACAGTACCCGTGGCCTGGGAGCCTCATTTGGGGCCGTGTCAGCCCTAAAGGCTGCTTGGGGAGACTGTTTTAGGGAAGGTGTTTTTGGCTGTTCCTGGCAGGCTGTTTTGGGTGGGGAGGTTCGGGTTTTTTTTCCTAGTGGAGCCGTGTTCAGGAGAGTTTTGAGGAGGATGTTTTGGAGCTGTTCCTGAGAGGCTGTTTTGAAGCCGTATCCTGGGAGAGCTGTTCATGGGAGGGTTTTTGGAGCTGCTCTTTGGGAGGGCTGTGCCAGAGACGTTTTTCCCGGGGGCTTATTTTTTTGGGGGGGTATTTTGGGGCTGTTCCTTCGGGGCTGTTTTGTGGCCGGGGTTGCCGGGGGCGGGCGGGGACCGATCCCGAGGGCGGGTCCCGGCGGCGCCTCCGCCGCTGGAGCCGGGGCCGGGGCGGGGAGGGGCCGCTCTGGGACCGGCCCCGGGCGACTCGGCGGCGCCGGAGCCTACGGGACTTTCCACGGGACCTTTGGCGGTACGGAACCGGGGCAGCGGGCAGCGGGGGGCACCACCGGGAGTGGGACGGGCCGGGACACGGGCACCGGGGGCTGGATGGAGCCTGCGGTGCGGGGACGCGGAAACGGGCAGGATGGAGCTCTCCGGGCAGCACACGGGGACCGGGGCAGGATGGAGACCCCAGGTGAGGCCGGGGTCGAGGGCTGAGCTGGGCAGGGCCAGGTGGACCCTCATGGATGCCCCGGCACTGTCCGGACAGCCTGGGGACTCAGGAGATTGAGGTGCGGGTGGGTTCCCAGGCGGAGCTTTGAGGAGGGGGCTCCCACCGGCTCCGAACCCCCCATGCTGCCCACACCGAGCTCCTGCTGTTGCCGAGGTGAGCAGTGAGGATGATTTTGGGAAGCAGCTGCATCACTCGGGATGAGCATTTCCGACTAGAACCCGCTGCGGTTTCAGTGATTCACTCCCCCCGGATCACCCTTTAATGTCGTGGGACACCCTCCCTGCCGCCCACCCGCAGATGTCCCCGCACATCCCGGTGTTGGTGACAGCGTCCGTGCTCCCGTGGTGGCAGGAGCGGGCACTGACAGGGGACACTGGTCCAACTGGGAGGTACCTGGTGGGAAGCTGGGAAGAGGTGGGAGCACAGGTGGGGTTTGTGTTGGATGCGAGCGCTGTGCCTTGACTCAGTTATTCC